AAAAAGAGAAAGAAACAGAGGAAAAAATGGAATCACAAGCTGGGTATGGTGGCACACGCCTGTAATCCCAGCGGCTCAGGAGGCTGAGGCAGGAGGATCAAAGGTTCAAAGCCAGCCTCAGCAATTCAGCCATAGCAATTCAGTGAGCCCTGTCTCTAAATAGGGCTGGGGATGTGGCTCAGTGGTCGAGTGCCCCTGAGTTCAATCTCTGGTACCAATACAAAAAAAAAAAAAGAAAACAAAGAAATGGAATCACAGGTATAGAGGACCCAGTATCAGGACCCTGCTGGGGAGCACCAAAGTTCCACCCTCAGGAGAGGAAGAGATGATGACAGACTCACTCTGGGCCCTCTAGAGAAGCAGAGAAGAAAGTGCCTCCATGTGTGCCTGTCCTGTCCAGATCCCTGTAGCCATTGCTTCCCACATTGTCCAGGCCACTGAGCAATCTACATTGCCCCTAGTTCTAGGAAGACCCCTGAAGATGAGAGTAGGGATTGGGGTCCACAGAAGGGGATCAGGAGTGAATGAATACCCACCGTCAGCAGATGGGCTGGGAGAGGAGGTGTGAGGGGTTTCAGAGACATCCATTTCTGCTGGTCTAGGGGATGGGCCTGAGGCTTCTGAGCTGGGGTCCTGAGGAGAGTGTCTAGCTGGGTCTGGTGGGCAGTCCTTGGCAGCATTGTTTCCATCTGGCAGGGATGATTTTGCCTGTGAGGAGCCTGCAGCCTGCCGACCATGATGTTTTAGCCTGGTGCCTGATGACAGGAGGGTCTGGGTCCCAGTGGTTGCTCTCCTTGCCTTCCAGCCCCGGAGTCCCTGAGCACGAAGGATCCGCCGACGCTGCCAGGGAAGCAGTCTTTTTTTGAGGTTCCGTACTGCCTGGGCATACAGCATGGCCCGCACTGCACACTCGGCAGATGTTGGCTTCCGGTCGGTTCCTTGCAAGGTCTGGCTCATCCGCTGGGTCTCTGCTAACTTCAGCTTATAATACTTATATTCCAGACTATTTTCATCAGACAAAAACCTAAACAAGACAGGCATAGCAAGACATTTGTGAAAACACCACACATTTCTGCAAAGCCTTTCTAAGTGGCAGCCTCCCTGCTGTCCTGTTTTCTGAGGACCTCGTTGTGGCTTCACTGAGGACCCAGAAAAGGGCCTGGGGCCCCTGCCCTGCCCAGAGTGATCACTGAACAGTCAGGAGTCTTGACGAGCACTGGTTGAGTTTTTCTTAATTTCTGTCATCTGAAGACTCTCACAGCTTATAGGGTTTTGCAATACAAACCAGTCACCCTGGAGCCACAGAAACTGTGGGGCTGACACCACACTATGCTACCAGCACTGTGGCAGCAGTGGTCTAGCCAGGCAGAGTGCTTGGTGAGCTTTCAACTATACCAGTAAGGCAGGTATGACAAGACCTATGAGAGAACTAACAAGGAAGCATGTGCCCCAGCTACGAAATCATATGGCAGGGTCATAATGCTGAGAATAGTATGGAAATCAGAAGGCTGGGGCTGGGGTGTGGCTCAGGGGTAGAGTACTGACCTAGCATGTGTTAGGCCCTGAGTTCCATCTACAGTACTGGAAAAAAAAAGTGGGGATGGGGGTAGGGGGGGAAGGGAGGAGGCCTAGCTATGTGTACTGATAGAAAGATACCTGTAATATGTCAATGAGAATGGCAAGCTAAAGAATAGCTATGTCATCTGAAACTGCTGTGTGCACATACCCATACCCGTGTAAATTTGCTTTTGTCATACAGTTTGAAAGAATATAAAGCAAATTTAATAATGAGCTCTGGAGGACAGAAGAGGGTATTGAGAGGGATTTTCACATTTGATATACTTTGTCCTTTAATATGCACAGGGGATTGTCTCCTGAACCTCCACAGACACCTCTGGATGTCCAAGCCCCTTCTATAAAATGACAGAATTAGCATAGAACCTACACACAATCCTCCTGTAGATTTTAAATCATATCTAGATGACCTAGACTATCTAATGCAAAGTAAATGCTGTGCAAATGGTTATTATAACTGTATTATGTATGGAAGAATAACAAGAAAACAAAATCTGCATATGTTCTAGACAGACACCATGTGTTGTTTTTTTTCTGAATATAGCTGATCAGCAGTTACTTGCATTTGTGAATGTGGAACCCTCAGGTATCATGTATAATTTTTTTCTTTCATTTGCAGTAGTGGGGATTGAACCCAGGGTCTTGTGCATGCTAGGCAAGCACTCTTTATCAGTGAGCTACATTCCTATCCCTTCTTGTTTTTATTTTGAGACAGGGTCTCACTAAATTGCCCAGGCAGGTCTCAAACTTTCAATCCTCCTGCCTCAGCCTCCTGAGTAGCTGGATTAAGATGTGAGCCAGCATGCTGCCTGGCTATATGTATGTATTTTTTAAAGCATTATATACTGTTTTTCATTCATTAGCATCTTACCTCTGTTAATCCTTCCTCTTTAGTGTCTCAGTTTGTTTAATCATTTTCCTTCTAGCTCCATTGGCTGAATGCTTTTTATGTCTACTCCTTATTTCTAAAAACACACCTAAAGTCAATTTCTGCTAAGCATTGTGGCTACATTTAATGTGCTTCCTCTGCTGCTTCCTGCTAAACTGTCTCTTATTTCTTTTTTTTTTTTAAAGAGAGAGGAGGGGGAGAGGGAAAGTCTGAGAGAGGGGGGGGGGAATTTTTAATATTTATTTTTTTTTAGTTTTCGGCGGACACAACATCTTTGTTTGTATGTGGTGCTGAGGATCGAACCCAGGCCGCATGCATGCCAGGTGAGCACGCTAACCACTTGAGCCACATCCCCAGCCCTAAACTGTCTCTTATTTCAGTTCTGAATACTTCCTCACTCAAAAGTTACTTCAAAGCTGGATGTGGTGTGTACAACTATAATCCCAGCTACTCAGGAGGCTAAGGCAGGAGGATTGCAAGTTCGAGGCCAGCCTCAGCAAACTAGTATGATCCTATTAAAAAAAAAAAAAAAAGGTGGGCTGGGAGTGTAGCTCAGTTATTAGAGCTATACCATGCACAAGGCCCTGGATTCAATCCTCAGTACCAAAAGAAAAAATAAATAAATAAGGAAAGGAAGGAAGGAAGGAAGGAAAAGGGTTGAGTATGTCATTCAGTAAAGTGCCCTTAGATTCAATCCACAGTATAAAAAAAAAGTTACTTAGATGCCTATTTCAGTTGTTGCTGGTCTCAAAGTTTCTACTTTGTCCCAATGTGTTCTCTTTCTTAGTATGCTTCTAGAGACTTATGTGCGAGTTACACCCCAATTAATCCATTAAGTTGAAAATATCGTAAGATGAAAATGCATTTAATACCCTCCCCCACCTACTGAACATCATAGCTTTTACTAGTGTAAAGTTGGGCGAAATCATCTAACACAAAGCCTATTTTAGGGCTAGGGATACAGCTCAGTTGGTAGAGTGCCTGCCTTGAATGCACAAGGCCCTAGGTTCAATCCCTGGCAACACACACTCACACACACAAAAAAAAAGTCAAGCAGGCCACAGTGGTGCATATCTATAAGCCCCAGCCACTTAGGAATCTAAGGCAGGAGGATTGCAGATTCAAGGGTAGCTTGGGAAACTTAGCCAGACCCTGTCTCAAAATAAAAAGGGCTATGGATGTGGCTCAGTGGTACAGTACTTGCCTAATATGCAAGGCCTTGGGGTTCCAGCCCTAGTACCACAAAAGGAAAAAAAAAAAAAAAATAAGAACACAAAACTTGTAAGCTGGCACTGGGTTCAAACAGCAATTAGCTATGAGTCTTTTTGTGCTTTAGTTTCTCCAACCCTAAAGTGGGAAGGATAAAAAGAGATTAAAAAACTACTTCATTTTGTTGTTGAGGCTTGAATCACACACCTTTTGTTATGCAGCAAAGCTGTGAACACTGAACACCATTAATTGCTCAACAAACATTAGCAGATTATCTTGTTTATGCTTGTTCACTATGTTAGTAAATCTTCTACATCCTTCTTTGAATTACATCATCTGCCCTTTCCAGAGAAATAGATACACATCTCCTATCAAGGTTTTAAATTTATTTATTCTTTTTATTATAGTTTTGGTTTTAAACAATTTCTCAGTATTGTTTATTTACATAGTTCAAAGCTATGTATTTTGTGCATCCAGAATCACAATTAGGCCTGGGAGCTATAGCTGTGTATAGAGTGCTTGACTAGCATATGTGAGGCCCTGGATTACACCCCCAGTACTACAAGACAACAACAACAACAACACCTAACACTATCGTTATTCTGAATAAGAAAATGGACTGGGCACATACTCCTTCTCCTTCTCTGCACTGTCTGAATTGTTTAGATATCTGAGATTCATTTCCCCCCACCAAGTATCAATTATTTATATTTTATATTAATTTTGGGGACCTTGGACAATACTGCAGAAGCTAGCCAAGAAGATCTTTTAGCCACTTGCTCTTTCCCAAGCATGTAAATATGCAGACCTAGTGGGCTGCCTATGGAGAACACAAGTCAGGGCTGCCCCCCCTCTCAGAGGACAATTTAGAAGATGAGAGAAAACCAGCTGTGATGTGTGCCTTCATCTCTATCTCTTGCACTTTGGGATCATTTTCCTGGCTTATGGTTTTGCAATTTCTCTCATAAGAGAAGGAAGTCTGGGCTGGGATGTGGCTAAGCGGTAGCATGCTTGCCTGGCACGCGCGGGGTGCTGGGTTCGATCCTCAACACCACATAGAAATGGAATGAAGATATTGTGTCCACCAAAAACTAAAAAGTAAATATTTTTATTCTTTTTTT